AGAAAATGAATGTTGTGCATTATTTTTATGACTGGCAAAATATTATAGAGAAGAGGAAACAGACAAAAGTGTTCTCATTTTCTCAGCAGCTAGGAAAAAAGCCCTGCAGATGTTTCAGGTATTTCAGCTAACATGAAAGATGCAGCAGAACCTAAGAAAAATATCTTGCCAAGGAGTAACTTCCACCCTTCCACTGTTCCTCAAATGTATCACTAATATCACTACTTGTGCTAATCAAAACCCTGGCTCCTTATTTCAAAGAGCATCCCCCCCCCCCCCCCTTTTTTTTTTGCTCTCCCCAGCTATTCAGCATCAATCTCTATTTAGCATCTTCATGAGGCATAATATTTAGCTCTTTTTAGCACCAACTGGCATTCTTTCATGAAAAAGCTGCCTCTGATTTAGAATATGCCATTTAAATAAAACAGTCTAAACCAGAATATCTGATTTACACTTCTGTGCTTTTTTTGCACCTATACTCCAACCCTCAATAATTAAAATGTGGGTTATTTCCAAGGGTCGCATTTCTAATATTGTAGTTCACTAAATTGTTTCCCCACTGCCACTTAAAACATATCTTCTAAAGAAACATCATCATAAAGGTCACCAACAGACAATGAAGTACAAGTGGAGTATACAGACCACAGCATTGCCACCAAATGATCAGTGATAGTTATGTCCCCACCACTGACCAATTTCAGGAGAACCAGTTAATCCAAAAGTAGCAGTGATCACTTATCGGCTTATGTGGCTCCCACAACCATTCTAACATCAAATCTTCACTGTGACTCTACTTTATAATGACCTATGCGAGGACAACCATTTTCACTGTTAGAAACAGCTGAACCCCAGCTGAGCAATGCTGTGGAATTTTTATTTGTGACACCCTAGAAGACATTTAGATTAACAAAAGAAAATGCACAGGAACCCACATCACTCCTTAAGCAAACTGTAATCACTATCTTAATCTTACAGTGTTTTATGTGCACCCTCATATCGAAAAATTTTAAGACAGAGCAAATTGCACATCTGTGACGGTTTTCCATTCAGTTCCCTTGTATATAAAAAGATCAGCACCCAATAGTACAGAGAAGAGGAATTAAAACTTTTCATAAAAAAAAAAAAAACACTCAAATGAACACAGCATTCCTGAAAGGAATCAGAAGATACACGACTTTCTCAGTCCTGGGCTTCTAGGGAGAAGCTTTGCCTTAATATTTTTTCTCTTTTTAAAAACATACAATTGCCCTTTTCAAAATCACCTCTCCAATATCATAATATATTGTGTTGTAAGACAAATACAAAACCTGAAATTCTTCCACTACATTTCAGACCAAATTTTAGAACTGAATTCAACAATGTAAATTCTTTGATTAGGTATGGTTTGGGATTTTTTTAACCTATCAAACTGCCCTAGGTAGGTTCCATCATTATTAACCTACATGGCCATAGCTCAAACCTGCAGGTGCCGGCCTCTGCAAGTTAGAAAGTACAAGTACTTGACAATGATGAAATGAAATACTACATGTGTGTGTATATATATATATATATATATATATATATCTCCATACACACATATATATGTATTTGCATGAGATTTGCTTTTAAATTAAAAAAATGAAAAAAAAGGAAAAAAATCAGTAAGGGCAGCATCATGCTCAGCAAGACTTAACAAAGCTCATATTACTGCACAAAGGCCAAGTATTGCAAGAAAATTCTGGGGAGTATAGCACCCAAAACCAACTTCAGGTACAGTACCTGAAACCAGTGTAATAGCTAGATTTGAAGCTGGCAGCAAGACTTTAACTCTGAACTATGTAAAGAAATACTGAGTTTTAATTATGTAAGTTTGCAACTAAAATATTACCCAGTGCCGGAACTATGATGGTACGCATGCTTGCTTCTAGTCCAATTCCTTTCTAACAAAATACATTTTGTGGAATGCATAAAGAATTTGAAACATTTCAGTCATTCTGTCACGAACTGTTGTTGAATTTGATATTGTGATTTCCAGAAAAAAACTCAGGGCCTGAACTGAGACCTGAGAGAAAATGATCCTGCAAGACTTAGCCTTCATGATGGCAACTGCAGCAAGTGATAAACTATGTTGTATAAAACACTCTCAATTACCTCATACTAAGTCAGTTGTATTATATTCTATTTTTTGGTTGCCTAGCAGTTTTAACTAAACAGTAAAATATCAACCATTACATAAAAAGAATACCAAGCATGTTTTATTTAGGAGTGTGATTATTTCTCATCTAAATTTATCTTTTCCAAGATTTTCAATCTTAGCGCTAATTTTATACATATGACTAGGTACAGCACTGACAGTGCCATGTACCATCACTAGACATTGAACAGCTTTGCATAATAGCTGGCATTATCTCCAATCGTCAGAGTTCAAATAAACTTCAGGTATTTCTTTCTAATCAAATTAATGACAAGCCTATGCTAATCACTTCAATCGCAACTGTCATAGGATAGGTATAATATACACACATTTGGAGTAAGTTATCCTACCTAAAAGGACAGTTGCCTTTATTTTAGCTTTACTGCAGAATTCAAACACAATATCTTAAGAATAAAAAAAAAAAACACAAACCACAACAATTCCCCCCCCCAACAAACAAAAAAAAAAACCACCCCAACCCCAGAAGTACCTAACCTGCAGACTTATGTGTTTAAATGTATTTGGAATGTTCTTTCTAAAGCGTCATCTGGATTTCACCAGTAAGCTATATAAAATACTATAAAATTATTAATGAAATTCAAACTGTGTAAGACTGTATGGTAAAAGTTTCTGTACAATTTAGTCTACCCCATCTGCTCCTAAATTTAATTTAAATCTATTTTAAGCCAAAAATCTCTAGAACAGAAATCTGATGTGATTTCTGGAGTGCAATATGACCTTAAAACATAATATAAACAAAGAAAAGGATTTTCAGATGTGAAAGACAAATATTGTGTAAGCTAAACACATTTAGATATAGCACAAAATACAATTTACAGACACACATTTCAGCTACTTTAAATATTTATTAATCATTTCACAGTTCTAAATGCAAAGTGTATATAGGCCAGTTAGACCAGAGACAATGATGGAAAGTTAAGTTAATGTGAAGTTCTACACTGGGTACAGAGGTGTTAGAGTGGCTAGCCATGACACTCAAGATTCCCCAAATGTAGCAAGTCTTTCTTGTACTGCTTACTTCCAGGATCAGGGGTTTACTCATAGCATCTTTAAAACCTTCCCATCAGTGTAGTCCATCATTCAAATACAGAAACAGAAGTTAAAACAAAACTGAAAAAGAAGTCATAAAAACAAGCCTATTCATAGATGCTGTCTATTTATACCACAGGAGATAAGTTGGTCAAAGTGTCATTGCCTGATCTCCTACATTTGCTTTTCCAACACCCCTAAGTTTACTGTTTTTCAAGCACTTCGAAAGTTTCAGGCATATTCTAAATCTCTCCTCCTTAGCACAGTTCTTACCATAAGTCTTCAGAGTTAATTATTTTTACATTACTTATACCTGAGTGCTCAGCAAGTCAGCCAGTTGTTTTTCAGTATGAAAGTGAAGACTGCTTATGCTAGTAGATATATACAAGAAAAAGGTTCTAATCTACTTACATTCTTGTGAGCAGACCCTCTTTTTCCCCACTTAATAATACAGCCCATAAGCCAATCAAATAAAAGGAAAAAAATAGTTTATAGTGTTTATTTTTCTTCTAGTAGCTACAGTGCGACTTCTACTTAAGAATTCAAATTGCATGAAGTGCAACATCTAGAACTGCACATCAGTTAGGGATGTCCAACTGCTACTGAGTTACTAGAGAGGAACTACCCATTTTAAAAATCTCTCTTATTGTGGCTTGTAGAAACAACATGGTTGGCACATTGTTCCACGACAAATCAAATTAACATTTTAAGAACCCAAACCAGCACTGTATTACTTAAAATCATTAAAACTGTACCACCTCCCCACTGGGGATAGCAAGAGGGCAACCCAGACCTCCAGTACAAGAGCAGCCTGTAGAAGTATATACATTGTAACCACAGCTGATACTGTCTATAGTTAATTTAAGACACATGACTTCCTAAAAAGAAAATATTTATTTCCTTTGCTCTTGCCTCAACTTCAAAATATAGACGACACAAACTCTTGTTGAAGAGGAACAAAGCAGAGTTGTCAAAAGAACTATCCTGCAGTAAAATAAACATTAACTACAGGCACAAAAGAGAAGCCAGGTGCCATACGCGTAGTACCTGAGCCTGCAAGAGTGTTTGTGGGTGCCCTAGCCCACTCTCAGCGCGGTACTTTGGTGCACGACCACAGCAACGTGTAACACATAGGCAATGCCTGCTTCCATCCTGAGCACAGCGAATACACAATTCTCAAACGGCGACGAGCCTCCGGGCCTTTGTACTCCCCATACCCAGATTGAAAGCACAGCTACAAAAAGTGCTAAAGGGCGCGCTGGCGAGGTCTGGGCACACATGTAAGGAGCAAGGAGTACGAGGGTGGCAGGAGCACTGCACCGCTCTACAGGAAGCCCCCCCGCCTCCCCTGCGGCCACTGCATGAAGTTGGCCGGGCATCACTCGCCCCACCGCAATCCCGGGCGCACGAGAGGCCTCCTTCTCTTCCTTCTTGGCCTTCTCCCGCTCTCGCGTGTCCTCGCCGCCAGATCTGCCCTCCGACGGCCAGTCTCCCCCAGCCTCACGGCGGAAGGAGGAGCGGGGAGGTGGGGGGGGTGACTCCATGACCCTCTCCCCGCTCCTGTTTCCAGCGTCAACGACAAAGTCCCGCTCCTGCCCGACTTGAGGACAACCCCTGGGTGCACCTCTCACACCGGATAGCCCCCCCCCGCCGCCGTCTGCCCCGTTCCCGCCCCTTCCCTGCATCGCAGCGGGAGAGGGCAGCGAAGACGCCGGACCCCGGGGCCCCGCCCGCTCCCCGACCCCGAGGGGAAGGAGCGGGTAGAGGGGTTACACACCTCGCTGTTAAAAGCTTTCACGGCCTCCATGTCGTGGTGGAGGCGGGAGCCGGGCGGCTTCTCTCAGCTGATAGCGGCCGGGACGGGCCGCGGCCCAGAGGATGGCTAGTCTCGGTCTGTTTGTGCGTGTGCGCCTCGCTCAGGGGCCGCCGGGCCTCCTCGCCATGGCGGGTGGCGCAGGGGGCGGCCGCGGAGGGATGCGGGGCCCGCTCGTTTCCGTCTCCTCCCGGCAGCGCGCAGCCTCCTCGCCCCGCTTCCCGCCCGGCAGCGGCGCCGACGTCCCGTCCCGTCCCTTCTCCCGCTCGGCCGCAACGGCAGGAGATGGAGGAACAACGCGCAGTGGCTGCGGCGCGGGCACCAATATGGCGGACACACGGAGACTCCTCGCAGCGCAGCTCCGAGAGCAGCAGAGAGCGGCGCAGGAGGCTACAGCGCCACCTGTCGGGCAGCGCCTACCCGTCCGCCCGCCGGGCCGCGCCACTGAGGTGCTGTCGGGATGGCGTCCCGGCCCGCCCTGCGCCGCCGGCTACGCCTCCTTCATCCGCGCCCGGTCGTGGGAGCTGGCGTGAGGTGGCGGGTTACGGACGCAAGGTGAGAAACGCCATGGTGTTTTCTCAGCGGAGGAAGTCCAGGAGTTGTGGGAGAAGACGCTGTTTTAGCGTCCCAGCCGGAGGCCGGAATCCCCGGAGGAGTGGTCCTACTGATACCTTTCCGCAGAGCCCCACCACACGGCAAGGCCCGCCGCCGAAACCGGGAACTGCATGCAGGCTTGAAGACAAACACCAGGAAAAAGTATCTGCGGGACATAGGAGAAAATAATTTAAAAAAAAAAAAAGAAAAATCACAAACGGTGAGCAAATAATAGTAATCAAAAGGAGAAAACCAACAAAATCATACTGCAAATCAGTAACAAGTCCCAATGCACTTAACACCTGAATATTGTAACTTGACCATCTGACACTAAGAAGTCTCCAAACCCAGCGTCAGGTATTCATAGGTGTTAAGTCACCACTGCGCCATTACCCAGGGCATACTCTCAGATTAAGTTTGAGGAGGATGTGCTTCCCCACGAACAGCAGTGGTACCTACATCCTCTCCCACCATGCCAGCCCAGCAGGTACCTACCTCCCCTGAAGCACCAACACCTCACCTGAGAAATGCCAGCAGCAACAGCTGCATCAAACAGGATTTACTTCCAGGGCACAGATTTTGTTCCCTCAAACACAGAGGCTGCCATATGACTCACCTTCAGCAGGGAAGCTCAAGGAGCTCAGAAGCACTGAGGATGAAATCTTAGCTTTGCCTTTAGCTGCTGTTTTTCCAAGAGGTTATGTTCTTCAACTGTACCAATACAGGAGAGCTATGACAGCCTGAATTAGGCTCTGATCTGAATAGCATTTCATTATTTTCCAGTCACGAATAGGCCACATGCTGGATAGACTGTACTCTCCTGTGCTCATAAGCGCCTCTCAATCTGGAGCCACAACTGCCCTTCATAGACAGTGGATACTTCCACTACAGGCCAGAGTCAGGGACTTCTAAACTGAAGCGAGCTTTGCTTAACAAACAAGGTAACTTATAAAGTAAACTAAGCGCAGCATTTGAGGCAGACCTGTAATCCTAGAGCTCTATTCTTACAGGAATACAAGAGACATTATTAAGTCTTGTTACAAACAGAATTAGAAGTGTCTCTCCCCGCTTCCTCAAAAGCCTTAGAGAAAAAAAGCCCATCTCTAGCAATCATCAGGCCACCAAGAGGGCCAGGAGGCTAGAGCAGATGCCATGTGAAGCAGATGAGATAGCTGGCTCTGTTCAGACAGAAATAAAAGACAGCCATGGGGTAGGGAGGGGATTGGCGTCCAGTACCAGCCAATACCTGCAAAGTAAAATGGCTGAATAAGGCTCCTTAGTATTTTTGGTCAACCTGAAACAATTGAATAAGGCTTTTTGACAGAGGTACACATCAGGAGGTCAACAGGCAGTGGTCTCAAACTAAAGCAGGGGAGGTTCTAATGCAGTCAAAGGAAAGCCTTTTCCACTGCAAAAATGGCCAAGCAGTGGAGCAGAAGCTGTGCAGTCTCCATCCTCTTCCAAGGTTCCATGGGATGAAGCCCTCAGTAACCCACTCGGAACACACAGGTCATCTGGCTTTGAGGCAGACATTGAACCAGAGAACAAACTAGGTCCCCCCCTAAGCTGAGTAATACCGTTACTATATGAACCGCATAGCTGAGTGCTAACTTCTGGCAGTCTTCTGCCAGAAGCAGTCCCCCTTCACAGGTGATTTAAGAGGAGAAAACTCTGCTTACCAAGAGTAACAAGGCTTTTGTTCCTCTTTTGTTCTTTTTCTTGCAGGAATTCTGAGTAAATAAAGTGTGAAGAGACAACTCACTTCAAATTATTGTGGAGGCTTTACATGGACTTATGGTATTACGAAAGTAACTGGCAAAATTGTGTTTGTACTGCTTTGGAAAACTTACTAAAATACTGTAGTAACAAACAAGCCTCCAGGATCCCATAGCTTTCTTATTAGGTGAAAGCGAAGCAAGTCTAGTTTTCCTTACTAAAATGGATGGAATACCACACAGTTGCTTTTCCAGAATATTTATTCGAAAAGTGTAAGTTATTCCAGTGAAGGAAGGCATAGAGTGAACAAAGGAGAAACCAGAGAAGGAGGGATAGGATTTACACTTGGAGACAAAGGCACAAAAGCCTTGACCTCAAAAGCACAAAGCCTGAATTTGAAGCTAAGTTGTTCCCCTCCCCTCATATTTAGTTTGTTTGCTGTAGGTCTGTAATAAAAATTTGAACAAATGTATTTTCCAATTAAAGCATTTATGTAATAAAGCTCTTATAACAACCCCATTTAATTCCAGCAGTAGAAAAAAGCATGGAGCATAGCACAGTCCTGATCTCATAAGAAGCCATCATCCAAGAATAAGAAATAGGCTATAGAATGAATATTGTAATACATCTTTAATTTTAAATGTTCTAAATTAAGCAAGCATACAAATGAAGCGATATCAAAACAATATTACTGTGCAGAAGCACTGGCCCATTCTGGGGCAAGGCCACCTTGCCCTATGAAACTAATTAGATGACTTGCACTATTACTCATAACATACCAAAGCTGGGAGATTTCTCATTGTGCTGTGGAGCAGAATGAGTGACAGCTTGATGTACAGAACAAGCCTGTCTGCTGTTCCAATGCTCTGCACAACTGCTGAAACTCATACCAGAAGCTTCAGGTTTGCAAATAAGATTCCACTTGCTTTCCAACATGTCCATGAATTATGTGTGGGATTTGCAGTGATGGGGCACACTTCCTGTGCAGATGCAAACACCTAGCTTTGCAATTCTGAGAGAAAAGACTGAATAAATCTTTAACCTGCTGTTTAGTGAGGGGTTCCCCCCACCAAGAGAAGGTAAAATAGGTATGCCTGCTGCTTTGCTACTTCTGACAATTCCAAATATAGACTGAATAGATCAGAAGTGTCATATTATCAAACGCCCTTAAGAAGTCCTCCATCTAAGCAAGTAGAGGAAACCACATGCAAGTATCAGGAAGGAGAGCTAGTGTTCCAGTAGGCACAGAGAACAGAGGAAAGCCACTTGTAGCTTCAAGGTAAGAGGATGTCACTAAGCTTTCTTCACAATAACTCTCCACACTTTTCTTGAATGTACAGCCACAAGAATATCCTTTGTGCACATTGCCAATCTCTACTTAATTTTTCAGTGGGTTTTGAAAGAGCTGCTTACATTTTTGACTGAGCTTTAGCACATTTCTCTCCTTTGACTTCCTTTAGCACATTTCTCTCTTTTGACCTCCTTTAGCACATTTCTCTTTGTTTACACAGTTCATCTTCCACTTCGATTCATATTTTCAGTTGAAATTCCTCCTTTATAACCATCATAAAAGCTCTTAATTTGTAACTAAAAGTAGAGAAACAAATTTTCTGTTAAACATCCTCTGAATTTGTTACAGACATGGTCACATAAGGAGTGATATTTTTTTTTTTTTGGTAGTACTTATGTATTTCAGAGATTGTAAGAGAAATTTTGAACCACTGTATTTGTAACCTCGTTACTCATGACAGACTGTTGATTGGGAGCCCCAGTTAGTTCTCACCATAGTTTCTCCTGGTCAAACTTGACTTATCCTGAGTATCTTGCACGTATCCTAGAATGATGATGTCAGACTTTCTTAGCATGACTCCACAGAAATCACCTCAAGACTACTTTATTGGAAAAACATGTTCAAAGGCAACTGCTGCTTTAATTTACAGGCCAGCTGCTGTTCTCAGATGAATACACCAAGACTGTGTTGATTTCAAAGGGAACTGCTTTTATCAGGAAAGCAGAAGAAAGAGACTTAGAAATTACCTTCATGTAACATTTCTCAGACTTGATTGTAGGAGATTTAAATAACCTGATGCAAGTGTGCTGGCAATACAAGTCACACGTATTGTGATACTTCCAACATCGCTAAAATAAGCTCAGCCAGGTACTGCTTTCTTATTCTGTATGGGTTTCTAATCTTGAGGTTTAACTTTGTGCCACCATACTTCTGATTATAGTGTACAATTACAAGGTAGAGTGATCGTTGTTTCCAATAGCTGCATAGTCACTATTTAGTTCTGCTCCTAACAAGATGGTTCTTTCAAAATAAAGGTCAGACAATGGTTTTGCAGCAGCAATTATAGCATGCTTATCTCATTTTAATGGTATGAGATAGAACATCCTTATGATCTCAGCTTGCAAATACCTTAAAAAGGCATTATAAATGTCGTATAGCCAATTCCAACTACAAGCATGTCCATTTTTTGCTTGAGGGAAGCTCAAACAAAAATAAAGTTATAAATAGCTTTTCAGTAGATAAAAAAGAAAAAGAAAAAAACAAAACATAACATAGGTACTGAAACCTAACCATTGGTAGAATGAACTGTTATGAGCCAAGTGATTCTTCACAGTCTGATGCTTACTTTGCAAAGTTCACAAACAAGATTATATTATTTAAAAACTCTTACATTAACAGAAATATTGTATGTGCCCTACTGGCCAAAACCCCAAATTCACTCATGACCAAATTCAGTATTTCAGCTCCATATGCATCTATTTGAGTATAGATTAAACTGACAAGAAGCTAATGTACAACCTGCAAAACTATCAATTTCATGAATATGTGATCTAAAACAACTCTGGTGATGGTACACAGATAAATCAAATGCAAAAAACTATCAAACAGCAAAAATAATTCAAAAAGCGTAATGTATTAATAACTTTTGCCCAAGTTTGAAAAAGTTGGAATGCCTTTTTTCTGCTATATTAAAATCCATATACAGAAAAATAACATTATGTCCTTCAGATAAGAGATACTGAGA